CCCCCCCCCCCCCTCCCCTTCCCAGCACGTACGCACCTGTTGCTGTTGAGCCATCCGATCTCTGCCGGAGATATCCTATAAACACAGTGCTTATCCTCACTCCCAGGCGGGCACTTGTTCATCTTGAGGTTTTCTGTGTGTACGCGGAGAGGGACGTCAAACCATGCGCTGGCCGCCAACCATCTGGTATACATTCCGTCCTCTGCTGGATGGGCGCCGTTGGCTATCGCTGTGTCGTTGGGAAAGAACCATCGCTTGAATCCTCCGGTGTCCGTACCGTAATAGTCGATCCCAACAGTCACCTGTGGCGCATCAGCAATTTATCTGCGCTGAGGCTTTGTCGCTTCCTGTATTGGCATGCGATTCACCATATTCATCTGCGACTGCTGATGCATGGCAAGGGCATCAAGTCTGCTTGCAATGTCTCCACTCCACACTGACGCTCCGAACCGCTGAATGCCGAGTGTTCCGGCTCGAGACAACATGAAAGGTCGTTGGGCTGTCTGGTTGGCACGATGGTTGCGGACGTAGCCGTCGTAGATGCTTCGGAGCCACAAGAAATTGTAGCTGATTCATACAAGTGCAAAGAAAGGCATGTGTGCAACGTGCTCGTTGGTGTTGTTTCGTTCCTCATTTACAGGTTATGCACATCTGCATGACGCTTCCCAGAGAGCCCCGCCCCGTTGTAACAAGCATCCTCGTCATAGCGTGAGGGCTCGCCCAGGTCGGTCCAATGAGCAGCGATCCCATTGCTAATGATATTGGGGTATCGACGGTGGTCGTGTACCCACGCAGCTCCCTCCGCATGTGTCCAATCAACCATTGAGCCCTCACCCCACCAACTAAAACAAAGAACGCAGATGCGACTGTGCGCGGCTTTGTCGTGCATTTACGCACTCGTGCAAAGCGATCGGTGCTCGGGGATTGCCACACTCGGTGGCGAGATAGCCCTTGCCCTTCATCTCATGATAAGTGAGCGTCTCGGATGCCATGTAGGACTCCTCGATTGCCATGAGAGCCAGGTGGTCACTATGATATGCAGCAATGTGCCTCTGAGGGTCGGGAAAGTGCCGTGTGTCCCAGTCAAGTGTGCCCATGGAGGACTTGATGCTGGGACGGATGCCCCCGAACCAATATAAATCTGATACCCAGCAGCAAAAAGGACACACCGGCAAGTACCCGTGCGTGTGTCCTTCTTCTTCATCACCAAGGACAATCCCATCAATGGGTATTTTTGCGTCCCGTACGCTTTTTACTGCAGAGTCAGTCTCGTCCCAGGACTCGAAACCGTACTCACTCAGCCACTGACCAATCACACACTCCCCCAGTCATGTCGCAATTTAGCTGACTTCTTACCAGCCCAAACGCCTTCCTGGGAGGCACAGGAGGCGTGCCGACCAGCTGCATGTACCGAGATCGCACGGTTAGTGGGTCCTCTCCCATAATGACGAACAAACGATGCGGCACATCCGCAGGGGTGTTTGGAGTGGCGATCGTCCACCATTCTGATGATGAAAAATCCCAAGACCTAAGCATAGCAAGGAGGCGCCGCGTTCACGCGGATTGATTGGAATTTGCCAAACTTTCTTACTGTTTGTATGTGTTGTCGAAGAGAAGACCCATGGAGGTTTGTCGTCCCTCCTTGGGAAGAGCCAACATGAAGGGAAACTGGAGCACACCTCCTTTGCCTACATCAAACGCACGCATCACAGCGCCCTTGTCGAGGTGTCGTCTCACTACAGCGTGTGAGCTACCCGTGGTCTCTTTCGTCGTTTGTCCTTCTGTGTCGGGGTTGTGCCTAAACTCGTTGCCAAAGCTACTTCCCGATCCGAACCTCCCAAATGTGAGCCAGTCGCCGTTCACCTCGCCCGCCAACTGAAACTGCTGTCCTACTCCAAATGCATGGCTGAAGGATTGGCTCTGCACACTAAGGATCTTCAGCCCGCCGTCCTCTGTCCACCCATCCACGCAAAACCTGGTGAGAGCTTTGCCATTGTGATACACGTCCAAGCACCCCCCCTTCTCGTGCACCACTGCGATGCCCCTGCCTTGTATCGAGTGCTCCTCCGTGCTGACCGAACAGTCATCAACGAGCGAGGTGGGGTTGTTGTCGAAGACCATGTGGCTGCTTTTGATGGCCACATCGGCCGAGGGCCCCGTGCCTTTGCCGAACTCGATGTGTGTCGCGTTGGTATCGAGGATGGACACCAGTGCATAACCCTGTACCTCTTGCACTTTGAAGAGGAACTTGACGCGACAGCTGCCATGAAGTGCGGCGATAGATGGCTGTTCGACTGTAAGCAGCTCTATTTGCAGTGTATTTGATGTGAGCCCTGCCTTCTCATTCTCCGTAGTCGAAATATGTGGCTCACCATCCCCCACAGTGTCCAGGAAGCGACCATCCCCCAAAGTGTCCAGGAAGCGGGCTTTGAGCTCTGGAAGAGGAGGCGTTTCGAAAGACTCGCGAAGACGTTTGGGCACATCTGGTTCAGGCACAAATAACGAAATTCAATTGCACTGATCTCTGGGCTGGTTACCTGCACCACATGACCATGTCATGAAGAGCCCTAAATAGATGGCCGGCCCACTTGCGAACATCTGCGGATGCGGCCGATTTTTGTAGTACGGCCAGGTATATCTGACCTGGTCCCCTCCCAGGTGGCCGTAGGTATTGCCGATGACGAGGTGGGCGGCGGCTAAGAAATGTACATCTCGATGGGCCTCGCCGCGAACGCGGCTCGACGAATGGTTACGAGGGGGGAGGGGCCCCCGAGTAATGGGAGGCGATCGGGAAGGGACACCAGGCAAATTTTCGCACCAAAGTGGAATATACACGATTATGATCGCGATTGGCCACGGGCTCAGGTTTAGGGTAGAACGTGAAAGGGAGGATGCAGGAGACACAGCGATTTGACTGTACTTTGCAAGGATCCGGGGAGAGCGGATGAGGAGGACTCAGTCATTAGCGGTAGGATTGGTCCAGAAGCCGAGAATCTACTGTTTTTGATGGGTGATTGCAGTGAAGGCACACCCTGTGAAGTCAGATGTTTGTGCGGACCATGCAATGTCGCCCCCTCCCCCTTGAACGGGGGAGGGGGCTTCAAAAGACAAGCTTCAATGGGTCAATGTCATAGGTAGGAGACAATATGGCAGTTGCACACTGGCACAAATTGCAGTTGGAAAGCCGCCTGAAGACTCGTTGTGCTTGGGGGAGGGGAAGACAGACAAAGTGGGGCCTTGCACGCGCGAGTACATGCCAGAAAGCATGAATTCACCTCATGCTTACTCCTCGATCCAAACTTCCGTGGTGTTAGAGGAAAAAAAAAGTTTGTAAACCCTGATGGCGCTCGCGTCTCTACTCCGTTGCTTCTCTGTCAGTGTATGAGTACGATACAGACTCTACACCAGATCTCGCCCTTTCTTCCGTGAATGCCATCGTTTTGGTGACCCTGATGGCCTGAGAAATTTCATTTGGAGAAACGGTCCTGAGGTAAGTGGTTCATGACCTTCAGGTTGGTGAGGTACTGCGTGTCTTTTCATGTCCAGAGAAACGGCATCACAACTGAGCCAGGGATGAAGGCATCTGTCAAGCGGTGAGGGCACCAGGCGTAAAATGACGCCGGAACCACTCGCGTTGTTCTCGGATTGCACACCCATCCACAGGCACACGCGTACCCTTCTTGTCGCTCACCTATGTATGTATGGATGTGCGCATGTGTCTGCCGCAGAGATGCCTGGCTGTAGAATGGTCCTTCCCAGCCACGTAGCCAACCCACATGCCTACACACCCACACGCACATATGAACTCTTCTTGTCGCTCGTCTACGTATGCATGCATATGTTTGCATACACAGAGATGCCTGACTGCAGACTGGTTTTTCTCGGGGCACCACTTGTAATGCAGCAAAAGACACAGCAGCAGGCAGAGGCAAGAGAAAGACATGCATCCATGGCGAGGCAGCAGCAGAGCAGAACAACCAGACATCTCTATTGTGTACTGCTGCAAGAATGTCATGGTTGACGGGGAAAAGTTAAGTTCATGTCTGTCTGTCTGTTCAGTATGTTGATTTGTCAGACGTTGATGCTTAGCACGATTGAAGTCCAAAATAAGAGTATACTCAGCTCGCATCGGGCAGTCGGTCGAGCACATACAGATTTGATTCGTATGCGGGGGACGTCAGTATTGGTTGATAGGTAGGGAGAAGGGAGGAAATAGAGAAAGGAATAGGGTGTATGATGGTTCGCGTGGTGTATGACTTGTGTGCACAGGATGGCTTGACTTGTGTGTAGAGGAAGGGGAATGGAGGTCTTGTTGGCGAGATGAGAAGCCTCGTTCTTTGCGATCGCGGCAGCGATACGGTGGAATCTTTTCCCCAGCCGCAGTTGCGCTACCACCTGGCGTTCCTTCATCGTTTTGTCGAGTGCTGGCTAATCCAAGAAGCTCAATCAGCTGGACCAGGACTATGCGGCTGAAGGTTTCAATTCCTGAACTTTGTACTGTTCATCGTTGTATCATACCTGGAGTTCGTGGTCGCTACTGATGTGGAAGAGAACTGGTATGGCATAGATATAGTTGCATGGACTCAGCCGGCCCCACGCCCCCCGACGACCAGAGGGGGGTGTGGCAGCCGGCTGGTTGCTGCCGTACGACCGTGCGGTGCTTTCATTCCCCTTCTCCTTCTCGTCTGGCTCACATTCAGATGGACACAACAGAGCTGTGTCAGTCTGTCATTTTCGTGCACATGTATGCCTTGCTTTTTGTCTCGTACAATGCGTCTGTTTTTACCGTCTGCGTGGCGCAGTGTATCTGCTTTTTATGTTGTACTCTGGCCTTTTTCCAGGATGTGTGGCGGCCGTTTTGTACACAAGAAGCGACTGAACCGAATCAGTGATCCCGGCCGGCTGCGTCTCATCTCTCTCCCGTTCTTTGATTGGGAGGGGGTTTCGTCAGCGACCCATAGTTGCCCCTTGGGGTCGCCCATAGTCGACCTAGTGGAGGCACTCAAAGAAACACCCATAACTCCACTCATGCAGCACTGCACGTGTGAGTGCCTCCACTAGACAAAACCCTCCAGAAGCCCTTTACTGGTCACGCAGAGGCTAGCCCTGTGGCTGCAGGGATGGCCCTCAGTTGCAAGGCTGGCCTTACACGTGCAGGGCTGGCCTTACACGTGTAGGGCTGGCCTTCTAACCGCAGGGCTGGGTCATTGAGTGAAAAGCTGAATGTCTCACTGCAGGGCTGGCCCCACAGGCAGACATGCCAGCTTTCCGGCCGCAGGGCCAGCTTTGGCGCACAAGTCGCTTGTATTGCATCAACCGGACGCCTGTGTTGACAGGGCAGTCCACCTCGTGCTTCAGCGGACTATTGACGAAAGGGAGCAGACGAGGGAGGTCCGCCGCGAAGTGACCAGCGGGACTCTCGCCGATGCATCATCAGCAAGATCTCGCATGCACCTCGCCGAAACGTGGACACGCTGTCGGGGAAGCTCACAGGCGTGGAGGAAAGAAGCGAGGCTCAGAAGGAACGCCATAAGTGGATATCCTCCTATCAGATGCAGATATGTTTCTAGAGCAGCTGTGATACTTATAGCATTCACACGTCTATGAAGTCAAAGCTACGAGACCCTAAAGTCCCCGGCCATCGTGAGCGCGGTGAATGACTCCCTGGCCAACAACAAGGTTGTTCCGTTTTTCGGTGTGAAATAAACGCACAACTGACAACAAGAAGAATCATAAGCCATACGAGAAAATCTCTTGCCACCTTTCTATGCGCTTCCCTCACATGCATGTGTGGTTTGTTATCGTTTCGAGCGTTCCGATTTGCCATTCACTCCGAAAGACCACCAATGAGACGGCCTTCAGGATTCGGCCTCCCAGGACTGGCCGCCACCAGCAGCCGTCCTTTTCCGTCGACGTCTTTGTTGACCAAACCGATGGCAACGTCCTAAAGTACAAAGTCAGTGCTGACGGGCAGGAGATTGTCCGACCTTCGACGCTGGGAATGGTTCTTGAAGGGATCCGTCTTGGAGAAAACGTCGAGATCGAGGCGTTAGACGAGACAGAGGTCAATGATGTCATCGAGACGCGGGGCGGCAAGCACTCCAGAGCAAAAAATAACTTCGGTGGGCGAAGAAAAAGAACAAGGGGTGCAAACATTCGTTGTCGTTTGTGCCATACTGGTGTGGTCAGTCGAAGCTGTATACAAGATTCGTCAAGTCGGATCGGATTTCAAGGTATTTCAGTGAAATTGTGCCATTTCTGCCATTTGGGGCTGTGTCTTCTCTGCAAGTGGCATTTGGACGTCCGCGTCTTTTCTGATGGAGTCGCAATCCGCTATCGGGTCCCTGGAGCTGAGAACGGCACCTTTACCGAAACCAAGGTGTTGGGCGAGCTGACTGAGTTTTCTCTCACGTTAGGCGACGATGATGTCACCTGGACCTTCTCACGGCCCAACAATCCGAAGAGTGAACTTGGGTCTGTATGAATACATCACATAAGCAACTGCTTACGGAAAGATTGTTCTGCAGAAATTACGAGGGTATATGGGAGGGAGTGAAGTTTCGGGACCTCCCAACTCGCAACCGGTTCCATGGATCCTTATATGGGTTGCCGGTCGTCCTGTCCGACGCCACGAAGAAGGCGCCATTCCCATATCGGCTGATCACAGATGCAGCCCTCTACTCGTACAGGTAAAGGCAACTTGGTCAGAGGCAGCACCGTTGCCTGCTTCACTCGGGTGGTGTGCTCGATTTGCAGTGGAATGAGACTCAGAGCGGGGGATACTGGAGTTCTGAAGGTCGATTTGGCGGACAAGATGTTCAAGAAAGCACTGCCCTTCAAAACACCCTGGCGTGTTTTAATGCTTGCCGGCTCTCTTAATGATCTCGTGAACAGCGATCTCGTTCCGAATCTCAATCCACCGCCGGATCTGCAGCTTTTCAACGATACGTCATACATCAAAGCAGGAAGGAGTGTGTGGCGTTGGCTTAAGCATAACACGGGGACGCCAGAAGAGGAGAGGCACTACATCGACATGGCACAGCAGCTCGGATACGAATATACAACCATAGGTTAGCAGCAAGCCTGCGATAACTGACATTTCATAGGATGAGGTATACCTATGGCTTCAGATGAAGGATGGGAGAGTCGCAAAGCAGGACATTCTCTCATGAGAGATATGGCTGTGCAGGCCGTCTATGATAAGTTTGGCACCCATTACTGGAAAGAAGTAGAGAGACTGATAGAATACGCTGAGGACAAAGGCCTTAAGGTTAGAGATGACGAAGATACGATACGCAATGGATAGACATGAAGGCAAGCCGTTTGCCCATTTAGGTCTTTCTATGGAAGAACCACGGGCAGGTTGCAGACCCTTCGAACGACTATGAAGACCTGCGGACATTTCTCGACAAGGTCAAGCACGTCGGAGCAGCTGGCGTTAAAGGCAAGCAGAAAAGCAGACACGGTGTTGGATTGTCGTATGGACACTCTCCTGGATACGTATGTAGTTGACTTCTTCAATTCGTATGTCAACTACACACACACCACGAAGGCTCTGTCACACAAGAACCACACACCAATTTGACTCTTCAATTTCTTTGCAGTGAAGCAATCGACAAAATAGAACTGCAAGAGAAGATCCTGATTGAGGGAGCGAAGAGGCGTCTGATGATCAACTTCCATGGATGCGCCCAACCGTCAGGTCAGGAGCGTACCTATCCCAACGCTGTTACGCGAGAAGGCATTATGGGACTTGGTGGGTGAAAAAAGAAAGAATGCTCTGCATCACATCATCTCTAGAAAGAAAGAATGCTCTGCATCGCATCACAATCAGAAACGAACAGATTTGGCAGCAATCCCAAACTGATGTGAGCCAAAATACATACGCACGCGACTCTCTCAAAAGCAATGAACTCTCTTTCATTGGACAGGCCTTCCCATAACGCCGCTCTGCCCTTTACCCGCTTCATTGTTGGCCCCGCAGACTACACCCCTCTCTCTCTCGATGAAAAATACAAAGGACCGACCACCACTGTAAACATGCGCACACATGAGGGTGTTAAGGCATGCTGCACCACTCCTCCATTGCGCTCTGTTAATGTCTCCCCAGGCCCATCAGATAGCGACTCTCATCTGCTTCGACTCGTACCTTCAGACCATTTCTGAGGATCCACAAGTCATCATGGAGTCGCCTTTTGTTGACGTTATTAAGAAAATCCCGTCAACGTGGTGAGTGAAAGACACAATCCCACTTTGGTGTCACTCCGCATTCTTGGTTCAGGGACGAGACGCGAGTGCTGGAGCCATCGGCGATCGGCGAGCTGGCCGTCATTGTACGTAGGAAAGACGACGAGTGGTTTCTGGGGGTGCTGAGCGGATCGACAGAGACTCGGGAAGTGAAGATATCCCTCGACTTTCTCGAGGACAAGGAGTACACAGCCACCATCGTCATGACGAAATTGCTAGAATCGGATGGCCACGAAAACACCGTTATGGAAGAACATGAGTGGTTCGCCTCGGCTGAAATTGAGGTCAAGCTGTGGGGGGAAGACACGAAGGGAGATGGGTACGTTATGATCCTGTCGCCACCCATTGACGACCGACGACGAACGATGAGACAAGAGAGCGTGGCTTCGTGGGTGAGCGACGATCGGTGATCAGTCTGCGAGCTGCTGTGGTGGGCAGGTCGTCATAAGTTGATGTTCTCTGGTTGTGGGATCGGGGAGAAAAGCGTTGTTTCTTTGCTTTGTATGGACGTGATCCCTTCGTCTTCCATTTCTTGCTTGGGTCTGTGCGCCCACAGTGGCGGATTCAGTCAAGTACAGTACTGTCCTTGAGGGGATTGCTTCGCTTAAGTCAAGCACACGGAAGCAGTAACCACAGGAAGGAGCAGTAATGTTAGTCAAGTAAGGCAAAGCAGAGGGAATCGCGCAGAAGGGAAAGCAGTAAAGCAAAGCAAAGTGAAGTCCGCTGGGGGGAAAGGTACAAAGTGAAGTGAAGCAAAGTGAAGCCCGCGCCGACACATCATTTCCCCAACAAAACGCACCAGAAAGAGACCGCCAACACGAAACATGGTCCTTGAGCACCCAATGCCGTCCCAGTAGCCAAAACAAACAGCTTTGCAGGAGGCAGAAAGCAATGGTGGAAAAGGCACCACAAAGCCGTCTCCCCGACGTCTCTGCTCCCGGGTCGACGTCGGCCTGTGGTTGTGCCGATGGAGCGGTGTCTAGTGGTAGAATGGGTGAGTGATGTAACTTTGAACGACGGACACTATGCAGACCTCCGGAGGACCTGAGTGGCCACTCCAGAGCGAACAAGAACTTCAACGAACGACATTAAGACTCAAATACAACGAGTCCAACACGAGTTCATTCACTTTCCTCACGATGATTGAGTTGGTGATTTCTCGGCTGTTTCTCCTCCTTTTCGGATGAGCGAGCGTGTATCGGACTACACCCAACCCCCTCCACCTACCCTCATCCCGCGAGACGGCGGCGGGCCCCCCTGTTGCGCATGCAACGAGAAAGGGACGTCTGCGCTGTCCACATGCAGCCGACGATGTGACTGCCGGAATCACAAGCGCCTCTGCA